GTTACTCTACATTCCAGTTCTATTTTTGCTGAAAAAGTGCCTCGTGTCATTCAAGTTTCTTTGAATGCGATTCGGGAAATCCGTCATCCCTGGACACTTAGAAGACCTAGGTCGTAGTAGGAGCACACGATACCATTTGCGAAATCGTTTTCCCTCGCCTAGGTTCTGGAGATTCCATCCCATGTGGGAACGGGACACAAGAACACCCACACAATGGGACGATTAGTGAGGCTCCAGAGGACGAGAAGCGAAAGCTTGCGTGCGTGAGCTACAAAGCTGAACAACTACGGATCATTCAGACCGCACCAGGCAGTCTAGTTTCAATGTATCCCGAAAGAAAAGAATTTGTAGGAGGGTGCAGGGGCTATTGCTCAATTAATTAGGCGAAGTACTCCACACTCGCCACCCAAAGTATAAAAAGATCTAAAAATGGTTCAGAATTCCTTACTCCGACGGGCTACAATAACACCAGAAGCTACAAGTAGTGAGAGCCAAGAGCTTCTGAAAGGGTGTTGATCACGTAACATAATGCTAATTTGGACCTTTACAAAGTTCGTTTTTAATACCTGTACTTACACTGCCTGCCTTTCCTGTCTAATATCTGAAAATATCAGGTTGTGGATCAGGAAGTTATCAACGACCTCTACACCAGTATTTTGGATGCAGCCAGAGTTTCTTTCATGAGGGATCGTGCGTCAACAATGAATCGCGATCGGCTGAATTCAGAAAGAAGCGTGAAGGTGAACAATCTGAAACCTGTTTATTCATTCACTCAACCCCAAGTGCTCTGTTTGTAAGATTAGAAAGGGCGTAGCTACTTGTTTAGAACCTTTTTCAAAAACAAGCTGACAGTGATCAATGGCAAGCATATAAAGGAAAAAGCAAAAAAAATCATGAAGAAAACTCCAAGTAAGGACCCGGCAGCCTCTCTGAACGAGTTCTCCGGATCTGCTCGTTGCATGCCAATAAAGTGATATTCTGCCGCCTCTGACTCCAATCGTTTCCTCCGCCATCCGATACTAATCCATCTAACAGTGAAAAAAGACGGGAAACACGGTGTACAAACTGAACTTTTGACAAAAATGACATTGAAATTTAGGTGAGCGGGGCAACCGGGGGCGTAAGAACTGCCACTTCAGAGGGACACAGCGCCTTCGCTACTTACTGTGAAGCCGCGAAGAAGGGACATGAGATTTAGGACCAGACTTCTTGTACAAAAAAGGGTGCCGACGAAATGGTTGATAGCGGGGACTACCTGAGAAATGGGTACGCGGGACAAGACAATCGTAGTTCGTCGCGGTTGCGCTGGGCGTATCGCGCGGCGTTGTACGGCAAATTCTCGATACGCATTGCCGATTGGAGTAGCCCGACTCGTGTGAATTCAAGCATAGGCGAAATTTCGTGCCAAGTCATATAGATTTTCTCATACCTTGAACATTCACCCAGACAGCAAGGGCATCTCCTCTGTAGCAGGCGCGACGTCGCTCGCCACGCCCACGGGGCGCATTACAGGTGTAGTGAGTCTGACCTCTAACACCTATCATCTTTCAATTTTTGGAATTCGAAGTCAAGCATAAGCGAAGCACCGCTTTCCTTACTGCCATGCTAGATATTACAGGCTGGGTACGCCCTACCGCTGGGGAATTTTTGAGAAAATACGTCCACGTCCCTACCCAAATTCCCCTCTATGATACGGCCTCGCCTCCCTTCCCCGTCATATTCGCTATGATGGCATCTTTCCAGTTCCTATCACGTTTCCCGAAATTAGTTCCGATCGCAAGCGACAGTGGAGGGGCTATATTCAAGCGCGAAAGAGCACGAAAAATAATCAGAAAGGAAATTTATCCAACCCAGCGATGTTGATGGCGTCTATGAAACAGGAGAAACCCACTTTTAGAAAATTTTTCAATCAAACACGCCAACTTCCCCATCCCGCTGGGGATTCCCCAACGTACAAAGTGCCCTGATTACAGGGCCAGACATTCTCGAAAAATTGCCATTTAGTGAGTGCCTGATCGTCGAGATCGCCTGCGGGGAACTAGCTTATTGACCGTTTTTGTTCATTTATATAGCTGTTCATAGAAGAATGCTCTTAAAAACTGTTTTAGAGAGGATACGAATCGGACGAGTCTGACGTCAGCATACTGAGTCAGTCAAGTGAAATCAAACGGAGACGCGGAAGACCACGAAAGGTACAATTTTTCAGAGGTTTGGACGGGTACTGGGCTCCTCTGGGCTCATATTCGCCAAACGCCCTCACACATGTAGAGCTTGAGATGCGATTAAATTCACTTTGGAATCTCGCCTCGGATGGAACTTAGGGACACTTCCTTTAGAGAACAGCTTCATTGAGCAAATTACAAGAATGCTCCCAAATCATTTTTTCCCCTTTCAGAAGATCTGACTTCCGATATCTCGGAATTTCCTCCATGAAACGCGGAAAGAAATGATATTTTTGTAGGACGAGGAACCTTCGTTGGATCTCTCGCCGCTTACACTGCATGAAGTGCTCAAATGGTGTCCAGATCGTCATCTTCTCAGCACTCGCTACATCCCAGCCGCCAAAGTCGCCGCTCTACTTTCCATACCTGTCACTGTATTCTTCAACAAGTATCCAAGAATGTTTCGGGTACGCTCTCGAACACTACCATCCCAAATAAGAGTCATATGTGCTTACGATCCCTATTCCAGTACTCCTGTGATGAGGAGGACCGTGGCCTGTTGATGGAAGAAAAGAAGCTGTCAAGGAGTGCCGGCCGCTGTTACCTCATGGTCATGGATGATGTCACCGAGTTACTCGGTCGATCGTGAGTTTTGCATTCGTGACATTTTCCTTCAATGCCTGAATTTCAGTCACCAAGAAAATTCGAAAAATCTTCAAAGAATTCTTATCTTCTTTTAGAGTTCAATTGGATATAGCTGATAACGTCACGATCAGTAGGGGTGGTGTTAGGAGGTGAGGAGCGAGCTCCGCTTCCAGTTGCCTTGCTCAGCCAACGGTGATCGGTTGATGATCGATCCAAGAGGAAAGCAACCGGTGACGAAAATGCTGCGGGTAGCCCCATTCCATCCCTTTTGAAGCCGCCCCGACTGATTGCGGCGATATCATCTGCAACAATGTTCTGCCCACCCAATGAGCATGTGTTGTTGTACTGAAATATTCAGCACTATTCACCCTTTATTGCCCCATTTTTCGAATAACAGGCGTGGAACTTGTTGAAATTTGTCTCGTAATTAGCATTACACACTGAGTACACACCTAATCCCTGAGATGCGGTAGGCTTGGCTGCGTACTAGAACTGGACGTAGCGACGGACAAGGTTTTCTGAGATATTTTACATTTTAGAGCAGTTGTTATCATGTCTATGTAGACAGAACAAGGTAACAGAAACCTCGACTTGAAATATCCCGCGAGTAATCCACTCCGTGCCATGTTCATATGTCACGCCTACTCCGTCTCAGGGATAAGGAGTGTATCCAACATGCATCAAATCGAAAACAGGTGGATCTCCCGCCATAAACAGGCAAAGGCGTCTTACGTCCACGCTATAGAAGCAGAAATTACAGCAGAACTCCACATACTTCCTGTGGCGCTGCTTTCAAAGGCACTGTCGGCAATCAGGTATAGAAGCTGAAAATATGGCGTCGGGAGGGTAGTGTGCTCCGCGACAATCCACCGTGCACCGGTTTCAGGGCAAAAAAAACTGTAAGGCAGGGGCGCTATGACGCAATATAAATCCAGTGACGCCTCCTTTTTCTAGTGACTCCGCCTCCAGACTCCGCTCTCAATCCCCGTATTTCAGTGAAAAACAAAGCTGCAGGACGAAAAAAGGATGAAAAACGTCTTTGTACGATCGTGGAGGTCTTATCGGGGAGTCAGCTTGCTGCTGAGGGCGTAGTGTTGGAGATGGAGTTAATAGGGTACGTAGAAACTGGGATCGGAATGGGGTTCTATCTAGGGCATTTCGCATCTTTATTTTCTGCTTTTTTCTTAACTCTCGAGTTAAAGGCGAAGTCCGCGATCATTCGCCATCACAGGTAGTGGACTAGCGGTTTGCAGATAGACAACAAGGTCATTGAAAGACGGGCCTTGAAGGCGGAGTCTGGAGGCGGAGTCACTGAAAAAGGAGGCGTCGCTGAACATATATTGCGCTATAACACCTCTCCCTTACAGTTTTTTTGCCCTGAAACGGGTACAGGGTGGTTCGTCGCAGGCCACACTACCCTCCCGACGCCATATTTCCAGCTTCCATACCTGAGCTATCTCTACCCGACTGGGAAAAGTGTTTCTGCGTGTAATATGCGCCAACTACGGAATAGATTCATATCACATACTAATGAAACTCGTTGGTCATCAATCCGTCATTTTCTGGAGGAACTAGAGTGGAGCTACTTTTAGGAGTTCACCTTGGGCAAACCCCAGCTTGATTTTCTTTAGTTCTTGGGTATTGCGTTTTCAGAGCCACTTTATGTTCCATCGACCATGTAATCGCGTCTATTATCGGTGGCGATTTCACGTAAGAGCGCACCGCGCGTCCGGAGTCCTCGCAACTCAAAGCGCTGCTTCACCTGCTCAATTACATGTGAAATACAATGAAGCAATGCTGTGAGCATTGCAATGCAAACCCTAAACGAATCAAAACGCTGTATTCTGCAGACTTTTTCTTCTGAATTTTTCAACATTGCGATTCCGAAACGGGTTTGGCACTAACAGATCAGGGCAGATTGGTATTTACACCCAGAGGGAGGCGAACTAGGAACAACAAGTGTTAACTGTTAACAATCAACGAGTCGAGGCTATCCGTATGTTTGAAGAATCGGTTTACTGGTTTGGTTCTCGTGAAACATTTCGGGTCAGGGCTCATCACATTAATTGAGATGCTCCTGAATACCACCCCTAATATCCGTCAGATAAAGGGGATAGCCGTGCACGAGGCGAGGTATTAAATAGCGCACTTGAAATGGCAGAAGCCAACAATGACTAAAGTTTTCAGCGAGGGGGGTGCAGTCGAGTATCTTTGAACCCTATGGGAAATCCCAATTATAATATATTCAATATCAAGGTGTCTCACTTCTTCTTAAAGGCAAACCCTCATTGGCATTTAATAACGAACCTATAGCCGCCCATAGCGTAAGTACAGCCCAGCAGCCTCATTGTGTGAGTTGTCTGGAGTTCCCACTCTATGTATGCAAGGCGATATGCTGCCTTTTATGGCTCACTAAGCGTATCTTCACGTCATCCAATGCTAAACCATCCGGTGTGAAAAATGGCTCGTGCCATGAAGTAGCCTTCTGATGGGCGGGGCAATTAGACAGGCGTCAGAACTGCCGCATATGAGGGTCGCAGCGCCTTCATTACTTCTCGTGAAGCTCCGAAAGTGGGACAGTCAAAGATACCGAGGGCCAGGCTACTTCTACATGGAAGGACGCCTATGAATTGCTCAAAGGCAGTTGGCACGACAAATCGCTATACAGATGTAGGATTTATACGACTGGCTTAACAGTATTCCGTGACCTCGGGCAGGCGCTCCGTGGCGCCTTTTCCAAGGAGGGTGCCCCTATAAGGCCCTATTGAGCAACAACATTACGTCTCAAACGCCTTCCTTGCCCACCCGCCTACAAACGGACGATCGTTTATGACGCTCGTATTCATTCATATGCTAAGCAAATTATGAAGCAAAGGGATTGGTATGAAGCGGCCGTGATGCTGCATGCATATATGGGTACACATATGCAGCCGTATCTTCGGTAGCGGTGACTGGCAAAATGCCTACGGGAAACTCGTCCAAAATCGCTCTACAAGTCACTGAGAACGGAGGCTTTTTCTTCGCCGGATTTTGGCCGTTTCACTCCATTCTTTCGCCATTTCCCCACTAGATAGCGCCCTGCTAGCATTTTGGGCAAGTGAGAAACCATCGTGTCAAACTGCCTTCAAACCGGGGACTTGTCTTCAGTATTCTGGGAGTATAATGGACAGACCTCGTTGCCGCCATATCAGAAACCTCACACCGAATGATTTGAGGGCGTAGGAGCCTGCTCACTCTTGACACATCCCACTTTCTTCTAGCGCATATTTAGATGTTAACTAAAAGTAGTCAGCCGGCGAAGTGTGATCATTCTACGATTTCTATTTATTGCCGCGACCCTGGGTTTAATCTGCATCAAGAGTCATAGTCTTCTACATGCCAAGGCTGTAATCTAATGCCGTTGAAGAACAGCTCATAATCTCGAATTAACAAGTCAGTGTTCTATCTCCCAGACGAATCTGGTACCAATTACCCGTTCCCAGGGGGTAGATAGGCTTGGTTGCCTGGCGGTTCGACCACGGGTTCGAACCCCGCCACTTGTCACTAAACCAACCTCTGCATAAAACACACTGACTTGTACATCACTGGCCCACCGCAAGTCATTGTATAGCCGATCGCATTCAGTAACCACTCATTCTAGAAATGAAGGTAGAATGCCTGCCCATCCCACAGCAGGGATTGAATCAACGCGCGAAGACTTTATCCTTTTATCCTTATAATGCTCGAACTAACATCCCGCTTTTCTAGATGACTAATCGATAAATTTGAAGCTCAAGCCATTTTATTACAGACCGATCTCGAATTTGCTGCCTTCACGCTGAACGAGCACATCTTGTACTGAAGATGCGATCGAGAACGGCACCAGGTTTGTCAAGTTGAAAAGCGCTCGTCTTCCACGTCGGCAATCACCTTCAATCAATGACCAGAGTATGGTTAATCTCATTCCATCCGAAGTAAACCGACGTGATATATAAATAATGTTTTTTTTCCGCCCTCAACAAGCTTTATCTGGTCTTGATGTGACTCGCTAGCTTCCAGTCTCTAACATTTCCTCTTTCTTAGGATATCCTATGTACCTCACGACATCATTTTGCTTCACAAACTAAACTCTCAGGGTTTCTGCCGTTTCCGAAGTTGTGATTGTATTTCACACTATTTTATGGTGGGTGCAACCCATAACTACATCTCATGAATAAAGAAGATAACAGTGATGGCGCTAAGTCTTTCATGTTGCGATCTTTACAGATTCAGGACTAGATGTGTGGGTGAATATAGTCACTAGATCTCTCTAAATGTGCGCTAAAACAAGAGTGCAAATAGGCTAAAAAGTTGCGAAATTAAGAAATTTAATAAAATTATGGAAAATATATCCACAACCATAAAAGGCGGAACCTAGTTAGCATGAAGGTTCTGGATGCAGCGTTCACCGCTGTTGAACGAAACCAGTCAGGGGAATCAGGGAGTAATACTTAGTTCTCTGGGGAGAGGGAGGGGTTTTATTTGTCTATCTTCCCTTTCCATCCCTTTGCGGCGGAATGACGATTTCTTATGGCACTATCCGCCGGAGGTCCCCCCCCCCATTCAGCTCATCAGCAGGGAGGCTGACAAAGATGTTGGTAGGCTGTGAGAGGGTGGTCGCGCTGGCACCGATATTTTCCTCATCGCCATGTAGCATGGGAGGATTCTTCAAGCCAGATTGTACCGTATCTCAGAAGAGGGGAGGGGCGTACAGTGCATTCGACCAAGACTGAACATTCATGCATTTTTCCCTTCTAGAGTGTACCACCAGCCGAGCTGTAGTGACTTTGGAACGGTGTACCCTCCAACGGAAAACTGTTTGGAATTGGTCGGACGTGATTCTCGATGTAGGAGTTTGTTGCAATAAAAAAAGTTAGTAGAAGCAACAGAAAGCTTAGAAGATTACAGCTTCTACGGTAGAGCTGAGTGAATCCTTTGTGTGGCGTAATATACTCTTCTAGACTACAACAAATCATAAGGATTACT